GGAGGAAGGCAGTAGAGTGTTTCTTTTGGTAGGGCTTTCCTAAGAGACTTCCTTTGGTGCTTCTTGGAGTATTTTTTTTATATTTCCAAAAAAGGAAATTTTTTAGGAAATTTTGATTTTCGGGAAAGAGTTTTTTTTTCAATAATTATTCCAAATATAGATTTATAACTATTATAAATTTAATAATAACTATAAGATTATAATATTTTAAAAAAATTTTTTCTTTTTGAATTTTGAGTTTTTTTGAAATTATTTAAATATAATAAAAAAAATTATTTTAAAAAAAAAACTTTTAAAAATTTATTTTTACTTAATAAATTAAATAAATTCTTAAATTACTTATGTAACAATACTAATTATATTAATTAAAAAACATATAATTATATATGTAATATAAACATACTATATATATTAAAACATTATACAAGATTATATATTATTATTATATAAAGATTATATATTATTACTATATATAATTTTTTTATTGTAATTATAATTACTATATTTAGCTATAAAGAGTCTTATTATATTAATTAGAATTACTAAGAATTTGTTTTACTTATTTTATTCATTTATTATCACTTATTTTTAGTTATTATATAATTATATATAAGAACTTTTAGAAAAGTAATTTTTCATATATAAATATATATTTCAATATATATTTTTATTTTATTATATTTATTTAAAAATCAAGAATTGTATTACAATAATTTATTATAAAAAGAAATGTCTTTTTATCTTTATAATAAAACAGATTGATATTTTATAATCATTAAATATTAATTCTTATTTAAAAGTCTTAAATATAATGTTTATTATTTTTGACTTTGCAACTTATATTATTAATAATTATAAAATATTTTGTTTACTTTAGCAATAAACTTATTAATAATACTGTAAATATAATTTTTATAGCCTTTATAATTTTAAAAAATTAAATTAACTTGATTCATAATATCAAAAGTATCTTGCTGTTTTTAAAAATTGAAATAAAAACAAAACTATAAAAAAAAAAGAATTTATACTATATATTGAATAAAAATAATTTTATTTATTTTTAATTACAATATTTCTAATTAAATTAAAGTAAAATAAAAACTCAAACATTATTTTGTAATTATAATTATATTGCAAATATAATAAATTGTAAACTTAATGATTTTGCTTTATAATTTTATGGACTTTTAATTATATTGTACAGTATATACACTATATATATTCAATTTGTTTGATGAATTTATAAGTTCTAAAACAAAATAAATAAATATTATAAAATCGGTCTTACTAAGGTTGAGACCGAACCGATCCAACCTAAGTACGATCATGATTTTATATTAACAAAATATTACCATAGTAATCATCGATTTTTTAATGAACAGTTGGTAAAGAAAAACCAGTTTCTTAAACTGTTCATTCCAACAAAATATTATTTATCTTTGTTTAAAGAGCCTAAATATTTCCCAGAAATTTAATTTTCCTAGTATAGACTAAAAAAAAAAGAATTGTTATTAGTATGTCAAAAATAAGAAGTTGGCATTCATTGTAAATTATTAACATACTTGATTTGATAAGGTTTCCAGTTTTTTTCTTGCATCCTTATAATCACCATTTTGAATTACCTCTTGATATAGGCTGACAGCCTTTTCAAGATCACGAGTAACACCTACTCCATATTGATAACAATATCCTAACCAATACATTGCAGGAATATACCCAACGGTTGCAGAACTTCTTAACAAATGGAATGCAAGTTCTGGGTCTCTTTCTGCTCCACCAATACCATAATAATAAAACTCGCTCAATAAACATTTATCGGCTAAGAACCCACGTTCAACTGATATTTTATAAAGTTCAAATGCCCTTTCAAGATTTTTTTCAACTCCAACACCCTTAAAATAACAAGTAGCTAATTCAGAGACCGCAAACACAACACCCTTTGAGCAGGCTTTTTCAAGACTTTCCAAATACATATCATCATCTTTTTCTACTCCAAATCCATGAAAATATGATAAAGCTATAAATAGATCCTTTTGTTCATGTTGCATTGCTTGTAATGAATTAAAAATTTTTGGTGCATCATTTTCATGATCTTTCAAAAACCTTCGAAACG